TGGACTGGAACAGACTGGGATGGGCTGGGACAGACTGGGATGGACTAGGACACCGGGATACACCGGGACCAGGATCGGGACCCCTCGAGACCAGAACTAGGGCAACTGGGATCATATTGGGAGCAACTGGGACTGTCACTGAAGGGCAATAAAACTCCCTGTCACTGCAATGTCAGGATTAGAAAGCGGTTTTTCTTTTTTAAGCACGAGGTGCGTTGGTGGGGGGTGAGGGGGTCTCCTCCCATCACACACACTCAGCTGTCTCACACCCAGGTTTCTGTGTGTGTAACTAATACAGGTGCATTACAGTTCCCCAAACTCATGCTTATGTACTAAACACTCCCACAAATTCTTGCACACATTTAAATCACTTCTCAGATCTCCTTTAAATCAGAGTAGGGGTCTCTGGAGGGTCTCTGGTGGCCGTTTGGGAAACATCCCTCCTTCAAATTACCCTTCTGAGACTTGTTGAAATTTCCAGCAAGTCTCCCTGATAAGCTTTATAATACTTTGGGTTACAAACTTCACAGAAATGCAGGAAAGACAATAATCACTGTCACCACAGTCCCTGTAATTCGTCTGACCCATTGAGAGGGGCCTGGAAACCAGGATGATCTTTCCCAACAACTCCCCAGATCCTCAGGAAGGATGTCCTTTTGTACTTCATGTGAGACACTGCCTTGTTCCCAAAAAGTCCAGATTAGTCCCTGCCCCCCCAGTTTGATCTCTGTACCGACGGGGACAACTGTTTGTTGTGGCACCGGCCCTGAGAGTCAACAGCAGATCTAAAGGCACTGGTTCTGAGCTGGGATCTGCCCCATTTCTGACACTTCCTTTTATGTTGTCCACAGAGCACTTGCAGTTTGATTTCCAGCTGTTTTGCCTTCTGATTCCCCCGTGCTCTGGGGGAGCGGGAGCTGGGACAGGGACAGACTGGGATGGACTGGGACAGACTGGGATGGACTGGGACAGACTGGGGTGGACTGGGATACACCAGGACCAGTACTGCAACCCAGTAGGACCCCCCAGGAGCAGGATCAGATCACACTGGGACCCTCCAGGACCAGAACTTGGGCAGCAGGGATCATACTGGGAGCAACTGGGACCACACCCAGAGCTACTGGGAGCAACTGGGGGACACATAGAATATACTGGAAGTGGCTTGGAGTCACTGAGATCATACTGGTGGAAACTGTAACCTTACTGGTGCAAGAGAAGAGACTGGGAAGGACTACAAGCATGCTGAGGGCTATACTGGGAGTGTCTGTAACCATAGCGGGGGTGACTGGGACCACACTGGGAGCAACTGGGACTGCGTGAAGGGGAATTAGGACCAGGCTGGGGGCAACTGGGAGGAATTGTGAGAGACTGGATCTACAACAGAAGCAACTGGGATTGACTGGGACTGGCAGGAAGGAAGAGCAGGATCCTACCTGGAGTGACTGGATCTGTGGTAGGGACAACTGGGAGCAACTGGGGCTGTGCTGGGGGGCAACTGAGATAATACTGGGATCACAGTGGGAGCAGCTTGACCTGTGCTGGGGGCAACTGAGACCACAGTGAGGGTGATTGGAGTCATACTGGGATCGTACTGGGAGTGAGTGGGAGCATGCTGGGGGCAACTAGGACCATGTTGGAGCAACTGGGATATACTGGGAGCAAGTGGGATCATGCTGGAGGTGATTGGGATCATACTGGGAGCAACTGGGAGTGCACTGGGGGTAATCTCCATCGCCTGTGTCCAAAGGAAGCTGTGTGTCCATAAACCACAGGCACACAGGGGCAGAGGCCCTGCTGTGCTCAGGGCTCTGGGGGTGTGCAATGCTCAGGTGCTTCTGCTCCCGGGGAGAACAAACATGGTTTTCTCCCTGACTGCACCTCTGCCTCCCACAGTCCCTCCTGGAATGGGGCTGAGCTGCCCAGTGACAGCCCTGGAGATACAAAGGGGTGGCTGGAGAGACACGAAGGGTCTGTGGAGCTGCACGGTGAGAGAAAGGGGAGACGTCTGTGGCCTGAGCTCTGCTGAGACATCCACCAGACTCTCAAACCTTCATATTCATACTGGTTTACTGCCCCTTCTTTCTTTCCTTGGATTTTCTTTCCAAACCTAAATTCCAGCCCCTGTGTGCCTGTGCAGCCAGGGGAGCATCGGTGTGGGCACAGAGAAGAGTACACTGGATCCACTGCAGCTGGATCCCGTGGTTTATGGACACACAGCTTCCTTTGGACACAGGGCATGGAGATTTCTTCACTCGAGGGGCTCACATCTCCATGTCCAATCCAGGGAATAGATTTGATCTGGATTTATCTATCAGACATTGTCATTACATGTGTGTAGTGGTTTTGCTCTGGATCTATTTGCTTTCACACCCCCCACAAAATTATTATTATTTGAGAGAAGGTTTATGCAGACAAAAGAGACTGAATTTGGGGAAAATATTATGAACATTTATTACTAATAAAATAAAAACTACTAAGGAACTATATCTGTAACAACACAATTCTACTTAAGTAAAAGTGCTATGTATTTACAGAAACACTTCTCCCCCCTTTATATCAGTCTAAGGAGGAGAAGCAGTCCTTTTCTCCGTTCTTGGAGTTCCAGTTCTCTTTCTCCAGTAACTCTGCAGCACTCTCATCGCAACTGGAACTCTTTTTCCTTCTCTGTGTCGGCCTCCAGGGCTGGGCCTACCCTCCTCCTGGGCTAAGACCAGAGGTTAGGGGGTTACCCAGGCCCTGAAGGTTTTCTCTTGCATGGGCTTGCAAGGGGACACTTGTCTACCATGTGTTATAAGTTAGTATAAGAATTTAGACAACTCAATTCCAATTAAACATTGATAAATTTATTAAGCAAGCGATAATAAAACAAACAGCGCTGGGTGGCCTGGGGGGCAGTTGCCCCGCCCGAG